GAGAGCTGATATAACTCCAGCGAGCAGCGACACGCTCAAACCAGCATGACTTTGTGGCTGCTGTAGTTTTTATTTTTCCTCCCCGACACACAACAACATGGTCAAGCTGCTCAGACATGTTCAGCAGCACAAACCTATGTGAGCACCTGTTGTCATCTAATGTTGTCATTATTATGATGAAGATGAACAAAACAACAGGAGTCTCCTCCTCAGCTCAGATCAACCCCATGGTGCAGGTATCTGGCTGGAACAGGTGAGCATCACAGTAAACCAGTGGAGCAAACTGAGCTTTAAATATTTAGGTTTTATGCTCTTTTTCTGCTCCAAAACATGAAAGTTAACAGGTGAGATGTTGCATTTTCATTTAAGATAAAATGATATTTTTATTTTGTTGTTGGCACGTGAGCAAAGATTTAACCTACAGTAAACAGGAAGTGGAAAGGCTGCAGATAGATGAATAGAATAGAAAATCCCTTTATTGTTCCTCAGCGGGGAAAGCTAGATGTCACAGCAACGATGACACGTATTACAGGAGAAAAAAAGGAGAATAAAAAATAAGAAAAATGAATAAACAACAAGAAAACATAAATCCTGAATAGATTTTAAAAATGCTGATTAAACCACAAGTAATGAATACCACTAATGTGTTTTATTTAAAATTGACTTGCTCGTGTGTAATTTGGTTATTCCACATTCAGTGTTAATGCAGAAATATGTTTGTTTCCAAATTAAAAGGTTCAAAATGGCATATATGTTGATAAACAAAATGTGCAAATTTGCCGTCACTTTTTCAAAAAATATTAAGTTTGGCCCGCGACTCCGTCCCAGATTTTCATTTCTGGCCCCGTGTGAATTTGAGTTTGACACCCCTGCTTTAGATGGTCTCTCAGTCTAGGCTAAATTACTGAAATAAACGTACTTTTGTACCGTGTTGTAATTTTTTGAGTTTCACCTGTATTGCACCTAAAAATGTCTGCAGCCATAAAAATATGCAAGTGATGCTTGATAGTTGTACATTTGTTAATGCACTACACATTGATGCATTTAAAACTCACATAATGCATCTGTAGGTTTGAATCAGGAACACAGAAATTTATCTTAGAATTAAATATGAAAACACTCAAGAATTCAGCTGGTGTGTTGCTGTGCTGAACACTGAGAAAACAAGTGTTTATTTACCATCATTAAAAAATGTTTAATATGAAACACGATAAATGGAAAGAAGACGAATAGTCCTGATGAAATAACTGAATTTTGGAGCTTTGGAGCAGGTTTTATTGAGGCAAACTAAGACTAGTCATATGTGGCCGTGCAGTAGCGGTTTTAGGCACGGGCAGACAGGGCAGTTGCCCGGGGCGGCATTTTTTCATGACACAAAAGGGGCGCACAAGCGCGGAGTAAAAAAAAAAAAAAAGGAAATCTGCGCCGCACCGAGGTTTTCTATTATCTGTCATATGACAGTGTCTGGATTGGAAACAGCAAGTTGGCGCCCCCTGCAGCTGCAGGCGCTCCTGCTGACTGAGAACGTTCACGTGCACCGTGTGTCCATGAAGAACAGGAAGGGGAGGGGTGCGGCGGGGGAATTCACCTCTGCGTCTTTCCCAAATGAAATGAGCGTGCAGGGGCTGAATCAACTGTATTAACATGGCTAAAGTCAATCACATTTTAACGTTCTTCCATATTTCATTCATAATATCATAAACACAGGCCTATCATTCTTTCAGGTTTCTCTGAATTGTGTGAAATGGCCGAATAAAAAAAGGAAAAACAAAACGATTTTGTGGTCACCCCCCCCCCATCAAGGTCAAATTGTTTAGTCCTGACTAAAGGAAACTTATTGAGTTAAGAGCCAAACAGAAGAGATGAACATAAAAAGGCTAAAACCACCAGGTTCCCCATTCAGGGGGAAAAAAAAGAAAAAAGAGGAGAAAGATAAAGGTATGTACGCTCTCATGATGCATGTTTTCAATCTTTTGAACCAGTTAACTGGGATTTTAACAGTTAAATGCGGTCAACTAATTGCTAACAGAGCTAATAGGGCTGAAATATTGAAACGAATATTCAAATGGTTCGAAAAAAGTCCTTGAATCGTTTTTTACTGATTCAAACTAGGATTTGTTAAATGCTCACTGCAGCCCGTGGCCTGCCTGAACAACAACAAACACATGTTCATCATGTTCACATAATAATAAATAAAACAACTCTACAAGCAGAAGAAAACACCCCAGTCACCACTAACTATCCTGTTTATTTATTGCAGATGGCTGCACTGATTATTTTTTAACTGATTTGTTCTGTAAAAGTTGGCATTTTTGGTAGTCTACAGTTTTTTATGTCAGTTTAAATTACAATTTCAGGGGCAATTCTAAAATATTATGGATCATGAGATCTATTGGAGATCTACCCCAACTTTTGGACTGCTCTGCCAGTCACTGTGGCTCAAGCTGAGAGGAGCTTTTCAAAACTTGATCAAGTCATACCTGAGGTCACCTATGTTTCAGGGGCGGCTCACTAACCTGGCTCTGATTAGTATCAATCACTCAGTAGGGGAGCAGATTTCATGTGATGACATTATTGATGACGTTGCATCAAGGTTAGGTTTTAATTTTAGTTTGTGTTTTCTGTTCTAAGTCCAATGCTGTAGTGATTATCTTTAGTTTGTTATGTGTGAAATATTTTTGCTATTTAGAATATTTATTATCTATTATGTTCATATATTCTTAATATTTAGTTATTGTTTGTTTTTGTATATTTGATTCTATATATTTTGATACAGTATATAATGTATATTGCTTTACATTCTGACAACTTCATAGTAATTAATGTAAATATGTGCAACTTAGAAAAATGAATGTTCAATAGTCGTTCTAATAAAACATGCCTGTTTGTAGAAAACATGCGTGTGTTCATGCGGGTGGGGTGGTGTGGTGGTGGTGGTGGTGGGGGGGGGGCGCTCAAAGGGAGCCTCGCCCGGGGAGTAATTCGATGTAGAACCGCCACTGTGGCCGTGTAAAGTGCACACATAAAAGGAAGTGCTGGAAGAGTGCAGGAGAATAGGGGAAGGGGAGTTCAGGATAGGTGTTAGAGTATAGGGCATTAAAAAAAAAGCAATTATTCATAATATGTTACTAATATATGTAATTATTTGAATGCAGTGGTGTTTGTTTACACCATCAGGTGCCTAAATTTGGTTTTTATTAAAAGGCTGTGAATCAGTGGGAGACCTATCATTCAAATAAATGTAAAAAATTGACTAAAAAGTTCTAAATGTGAAGTAAATTTATGCTAAAATGGCCCCAAAAGTGTTATCTGCTATAGAAATGGACCAACGTTTTTATCACAACGCTAAAATAAAAAAATTGTAAGTAGAAAAAAATATGAGTGTGAACCAATGATGACTTCTCTGCAGCTCTCCGGCAAGGGAAAACGTGCAAAAAGCTGCACTTGCTCAAATAGCTGTCTCCTTAACCGAGTCAATTCTGATTATTTCAGCAATAGCCCAATCTTTCTCCTTGACTGGCTCCTCAAGGAGGAGGAGGAGGAGAAACGGTCTGACTGAATCAACTATCTCTCTGTCACTGTCGGCCAAACATGCAATAATGTCACAGGACAGCAAACATACTCCTATTAAAAAAGTCCAACTAATCCTCGTATGATCTGATGCAAAAGTGACCCAACCTAAATGAAATTACACAGTTTAACTGATTTTAACCTGCTCTCACTGGATTCTTTCTAAATTCTTACATTTTGCAAACCCAAATGAATGCACCTTCTGATTATAATGCCTTCTAGGAATGCCAATCCCCTCCATCTCCTCCTCTCTCCAGGCTCGCCCTCCACAGAGGGAGGCAGGGATGGAGGAGGGATGAATGGATGGAGAGGAAAATGAAGCGTTGTCTCATTCAGTATCTGTATGAGTCATCCTGCTGTATCATTCACTATGTTTGCAACACCCACACAAGAACTGCAGAGCACAGAATACACACGCTCACCAACACCCTCCACACTGCTAGAAGCTGCACGTATAGGAGAGTGTGATATTCAGTAACACACATTACCGAATCCTCCACTAGAGATCCCGGAGCTGCATGCAACACATGAGCACACACCTGTTCCTAATCAAACATTAAAGACGCCATAATTTCATTTATGTGTACGATTAATGATTCCGATTACAAAAAATACATATATGTGTGAAGGTTTTTATGAATGCGTGCTCCGCCTTGTTGATTCTGGAAAATAAATCACGCTGGATAATTGGTTCTGCACCAAATAATTAAGCCTAAGTGAAAATGAAAATGGGGAATCCTCTGGTGAAATCCTTTGTCATGCATAATGCATGTGGAACAAACAAGAGTGGGGGGGATAGAGGGACCTGCTTTCCCAGCCTCCTCCACTTGATCTGCTCACGTGCGAGGAGACATAATGCAGCAATGCTGGGTGGAGAAGTGAGGTGCCACCTGAAATCACCAAAAGAGAGTTAGAGATGAGAGTTTTGTGCTGAACTATTTTCCCCAACAAGAAAAGTCATCTTTTGAACTGCCTTTTAGTTTGTTTCTTGTTCTTTATGAATCCTTTTCCTTCAACACCTGCCTCTCACCCGTCACCACCTCCTCCTGCTTTCTGCAGCGCAACATTTTTCTTTTGCACTGTTAATCAGTCATTTCTGGCTCCCCACCCCTCCTTCCTCCACGTAATGATCTCACTACTGACACAGCCGAGAGGGGAAATAATGGATATATTTGTTTGCTGAGACATAGCCACTCTGAGAGCTCGTTAAACACCAGATAAGAGCTCCTCTGTGCAGTAAGCGCTGGCAGATAAATCCACTTGATAAAAACATTTAATCATTTCACCTTCTTCTCTTCTCCGACCAGGAATCTGATGGAGAGATGCTGCATGACACGAGGTGAGCCTGCTTTCACTCCCCCCCCCCCCCATCTCTCTCCTCCCCAACATACCTCTCCTTCCTTTCCCCATCTCTCCCACAGCCCCTCCTCTTTCCACACATCCTCCTGCTCCATTCAGCTCAGAGCTCCCTCTCTTGTTTTCTCTCTGCCTGCCTGTCTCCAGTCAGAATTGGACGAGTCTTTTTTCTAAATGCACGCCGCTCTGAGGGGGGGATTGCACTGTAAATGTAGTGATCCTATCTGCTGAAAATGAGGCGAAAAGCTCATAAACGGTAAGGCGAGAAGGCAAAAGGAGTGCATGTGTGGATTCATTGGTGGCTCTGAGATGAGTGAGTGCAGTTGCTGTGTCACACATAATCATTGTTTTGAGTGCTGTCCTTTAACTGTGCTGCCTTGCTTTCCCATGTGTTGCATAAAGTGCTGTGGCGAAGAGTTGGGTCTGTGACATGAGCACGTTTGAGTGAAATCAAGCTTAACTCACTGCTGCTGAGCCTGCTGAAGACCATTACTGCCATTTGAAGTAAACCCGCACTTATTTATTTATGACTTTGCTCACACGGATCAGCTGTTACTTGGATTTTATTAGCATGAGAATAATGAGGTGGCGAATGTTTTTGTAGCCCTCAATTAACTCCCATATTCACGGGAAAGATGATACCACGGAGAGCCAATTATGGCTCAACAAGCACATCATGAGAGGGAGAGAAAAGAAAAAGTTGTTTTCATTAATCCAAACCCCTCACCTTGTGTAGATTACTGGAAACGGAGACAGAGCAGTTGAGGAGGAAATCCTAATTAGAGGTTTTGTTTGATGAACTGAGAGAAAAGTGCTTTTTGTTGATTTTCTGGAGTATTTCTTCATGAGTGTAGGCTCCTGGCATCTGGAGGTTCATTCATTTAAGATCAGCGAGGGAATTTTTCATGTGTTGATAATCTGTTGCTTCCTGTTTAACAACCTAAATTCCAGAAAGATGCATGTCTGTTGAACAACCTTTGGATTGTTGGAGTAAGTTTAAACTTTCTGCACAGCAAAAATATGCCTCAAAGTTCAAAATATGCTGCTGAAGCTCAACTATTCACATTTGGACCTTTTGTCCAAAAGAGTATGTTTGTGGAGTCTTTCTGCTGAATTCTTGTTTCATTTTTATAATGTGCAAAATGTTTAAGTGATGCAAACTTCAGCAGCAGACGGGGTTTCTGTTTTCTTCTCAGATATGAAGCTTCTCAGTCAAATTCTTCCAACCTCCTCATCTTATGAGAATTTTATGACCAAAACATGACTGAATGATCACATGATCCAGCGCCAACCCCGTTTCCATGTGATTTATGACTTTTAAATTAAAGCGGATAATTGAAACTTTGTTGTACATTGAATGTTTTCCATCTTGTACTAATTTTCCGCCTCAAAGCCTCTGTGCATAGATTACAGCGACAGCTGTTCCTCTCACGTTCAGAAAAATTTTAATGCATTCTTTATCAAGCTACTTGCAGCAGCTGACTCGTTACAGTTGGACTGAAGAAACGCTGACACGCTTCAATAAGACCGCCACGGTGGAAGTGAAACTGAAGCGTGAAGCTCAAAGAAGCGTGTTATAATTTTACAAAGGGGACCCTGCAATCCTCAAGTCAACAAAATAACTGCTGAAGTGAAATGGTTAAAACTCCAGAAGTATATTTCATTTTTTTTACTTTTATCCACAAATATGTTGTCTCTTCTCAATTTCTGAAAGCATTCTGAAGATTTTGGGTTTTCCACACATTTGTGAGCAGAATGGAAATTAGGTTTAAACTAAATTGTGGTTGTGAGCCAGTCTGTGGGGAAAAAAGCTCTGGCGCTCCTGTTTCAGGAACTAGAAGTGCACCAGAGAAGAGGTGAGAAGCAGAACACAGCAGGTTTTGGAGTCTGAGGCCCTGTCCACACGTAGCCGGGGATCTGCCAAAACGTAGATATTTTTCTACGTTTTGGCCTGTCCTCCACACGAAAACGTGGTTTTTTCACACAAAAACAGATCTTTTTAAAAACTCCGGCCAAAGTGAAGATCTGCGTTTTCTCCATTTTGGGTGTCTGCGTGTGGACAGACAAAACTGGAGTTTTAAGCTCCGCAACGTCCCTTTCCGCGACAAAAAATGCTGACATCACGTGTGCGACCTGTGTTTACACTAGCCAACAGCATGGATGCCCTCAGAGCTGCGCTCGCTTTATCAACTGTCCAAGTGCTTTTTGCTTGTTTGTTTTTGCAAGTGGAATTACTTCTCCTTGCGGAAGACCACAGACGAAGGACGAGGTTTAGAACGGGGGAAGTACTGCCGCCTACAGGTCTGGCATGTCCTTAACAACATATTTATCCGGGTACGTGTGGACAGAGTTTTTTTTTTTAACGAGGTGGTGTGGATGCAAGTTTTTGGAGGGGCAGATATTCGTTTTTTTTTTTTTTTTTTTTTACGGCTACGTGTGAACTAGGCCTTATTTCCTGATATTTGGACATCTCACCTCTGATTGGCTAACAGCAATGGGACTCTACCACTGACTCGGTTTGCTCGGCAGCATTGATGTTTTATCTCTACTAATAACAAAAGTCTGAAGGAGTTCTGACGTGTTGTGGGGTTGCTAATGCTAATGGTTAGCTTCTGCTAGCTGAGATGAGCTCTGCTCTCTCCTGGATGCTAAATCAACAACATCCTTCCCCATTGCGAGCCAAGATGGAATCCTTAAAAAAACATTATCAACCTACAGTCTAGATTTCTAGACTGGTAGAAGACTATTTCCACATTCAGCCTGCATGTTAAACGGAGTGACCAATCATATTCCAAAAATAACAAGTAAAAAACAGCTTCTCAGTTAACGTGGCCTTTAAAGAACACAACCAATGTTCCTCCTCACCTTCATCTGTCGTCTCTATCCAGTAAGCATTTTCAATAAAACTGTCAGTGACCTTGGAAACTTTCCCATCTCACTTTTCCTCCCTTAGACCTTGAGGAATATACCCACAGAGGCTTTGTTTTTTCTCCCATCATCTCTCACTAAGCTGAGCACGTAGCCCCCAAAAATCAGATGCCATATGAAGTCTCCCTTCAGGTTCACCTGGAGCGGTTTTCTACCTCCTCACGCTTGCATTCTTCTGCATAATTATTTCCAAGACTGCAAGAGCAGGGATTTAGACAGACTGTTTGAAGAGGGTGGACAGCTGTAACATCTGAGAGCCGAGGATGAAAAACCTCCTTTTGCTTTAAGCATGTACATGTGTCTATATTCTCTGATTTAAACCCGGACGAATCACATCTAAGTCTTAAGGTTGCTTTGTTTTTCACTACCCACCTCACCACCCGTGTCGCTCCCTGGACTACTGGTGATACGCCTGTCTGCCACCAGCATTTATCCCGCTCTGTCAAAGCCAACAGGGCAGGGGCAGCTGAGTAACATAAGCCTCGGGGGGCTCACACATACAGTAGACCACAAGTCTCTCACAAACCCAAGTGTGTGCCCTTCATGTCAGAAAAGATGGTTGTGCCGTGTTTCGGGATAAAACTCTTAAACGCAGAGGATCACTTCATCCACTCAGACTGTTTAGTTCTGAAAACTGTGATTGTTGTTGCTGCTGCATGAATTGGTTAAAATTGTGTTTATATGTGGTAAAAAAACACAAATTCCTGTTTCGGCGAGCAAAAGGTGCTCTGTCAAACATTGAGCTCATCAGTTTGTGCACGTATACTTAATTGCATCCTGGTGAGCTGTATGCTGTTCTGTGTTCAGCCAACATGCACATAACCTATTGTTGGGTTCTTTAGTGAAATGTTTAGTGAATAGCAATGTCCTAATCTGAGTTGGGGCTGCATGGTGATGCATTGGTTAGCATTGTCTCCTGGAAGATCATAGACCCACAGGCTAGGACCTTGACGTTTGCAGGTTTTCTGTATGAAGTTCCTCCAGTTTACCACCACACTCTAAAAACATGCATGCCAGGTTAACATGTGACTACAAAATGTGTGTGTGTGTGTGTGTGTGTGTGTGTGTGTGGGGGGGGGGGGGGGGGGTCCCTGTTTTGCTAAAAGCAACTCTTCTGCTTCCTCCGTTCTTTCTTCTCTTGAGGGAAAAAATGCAACATTGATGTTTTATCTCTATAAAAGCCTGAATGTGCTCTGCCATGATGTGGAGTTGCTTATGCGGTTAGCTCCTCCTAGCAAAGATGTGCTCTGCTCTCTCCTGGTTGCAAAATCAACACAGCCTTCTGTGGTCATGAGTCAAGATGGTTGAGCCCATGAATGCTATATTGTGCGACGTAGATGTCTATCTTATTTTGGTGGCTAATGCAGGTGCTGGGGTTGAAGACTCTTTAAGTTAGTTCAGGATGCATGCGCTACTCACTGATCATGTTTTCAAAAGAACAAGTATTACATGTTTGTCATCGAACTTCCAATTTTGTAAATGCCAGTTGTTTGGCGACGTCTGCCCAAAAAATTTCCCAATTTTCACAAATCCACAAATCCCACCCAGTGACTCTATTAGGCCACTTCCGAGTACATACCCAAAGTTTGCTCCCCGATATGGCCTGAAAATTTGTCCTTTTGGATCAACCCAGCAAAATGAAGACATGTGCATACCCTGAAAATGTGGTAAAATTACCCAGACGTTCCACAAGTCCTATTGTGGCCCAATGATGTATAGGCCACCTGTCCAGTAAAATTACCCAGACGTTCCACAAGTCCTATTGTGGCCCAATGATGTATAGGCCACCTGTCCAGGAAGTACCCCATCTCTCCTCAGCACCGTGTATTTGGATGTTTTGGGTATGAAAAGAGGCATGTAGATTGGTGCTTGAGTGATTAGCATCATTGTGTCACAGCTAGAATGTACACAGTTTAAATCTGCCTGGCATTGCTCCTTTGCATGCACTCAGGACATTTACAGAGACAAACAAGCGTGCAGTACATCATTAAGAGCCATCATGGGATTAAAAATCCTCAAGGGCAGAATCATGGAGAGGAATGCTGGATCTAATGCATAAAATGCTGATGATGTTTAAGGAAAATGTGTTTCTATTTCAAGGGGAACCACAATCCAGGTTAGTTGTTTTGGCTGGAAGCCAAAACAAATAAAGTGTGGTTTCTCGATCTCAAGTTTTATCAAACATTTACGGTCCTCTCAATCATTTGTGCTGCTTTAATATTCTGATATTTTGCTCCATAGTGCAATATTCTACTCCTCCAGCTTCGGTTTATGCGTTAGCATCAGAGAAATAGCTAGTTATTATTTTTTGCCTAAGGTTGCAACACA